TTTGTTTAAAGTTTTTGTATCTCTTTCCTGATGTTTTTATATGTTCTTCTCTGTTTGATTAAAATCACTTGATCAATCCTTATCTATTATTCCACACTATAAAATAAGCAATAAAAATATTTATTATTAATGCCGATATAGTATCCGGTCAATATCGATCAATACTCGAAGCTGCATTATTGGTATCATGTTGGAAGTTGAAAAAGTTGTTCTTAATTGGCACTCTTGATGTTCTTTCCACCTGACTCCAAATTTTGCTTGTATCCTTTGGTATCCTTGTTATTATTTCCTTTTTTTTATTCATTTACTGCCAGTTTTTACTCAGACTTTTTTGTGTTACTTCATTTAAAAAAATCAACTTTTCTTGAAATTGGTGTATTTTCAAATAAATGTATTGATTGTTTTTGCAATGCATTCATCCATTTTCTTCCACTTTATTCGGGGCCGTGTCGAGGAGGTAGCAGTCTAGGCAGAGATGCCCAGACTTCCTGATCCACACACACCTCCTCCAGCTGGGGGGACCCTGAGGCGACACCGGGCTAGCTCAGAGACATAGTCCCTCCAGCCTGTCCTGGGCCTGTTTCTGGTTCATCCCTGTTTTCGCAATGATATGTCAAAATGTTCAGATAATTCAATAACATGTTTTGTATTTCTTACCCATTCATGTAACTGGATCAACCTTCCAATTGGCTTCGTTTGATGTTGTGCAACATTCATCCATTTTTTTCTAAGGTTTTCCTCGCAGCTCATCTCACTCATCAGTCATTCAGCAGCTTATCAAATAAAGCATGACAGCTCCAAGTAGAACACAAGATTATGTGGGTGTTAATCTAAGAGGCATTACTCTGGTTCCTCCACCTCCTGCCATTTAAGAGCTCAGATTTTCTTACATAACAGCGGGAGCAGCATTGAGTCTGGGAGGAAAACAGTTTTGTTGAAGGGTTTTTTTCTGCGCAAATTATTGAATCACCCAGTGGAGGGGAAAACGAGTCATAAAAGCAATCTGATTTCTGTATTTCAGGCCTGAAGTGCGTGTGCCCGCTGTGCGCCAACCACACCTGTGAGACGGCCGCAGATGGAGCCTGCTGGAACTCAGTGATGCTGATTGAAGGGAAGGAGGAGACAGTCAAATCCTGCCTCTCTCCCTCTGAGATGAAGGGTCAGGTTTTCTGCTACAGCTCCAGGAACGTCTCCAAGAGGAGCTGTTGCTTCACTGACTTCTGCAACAATGAGACTCTGCACTTGCACCGAGGTATAACCAGGGATTTGCTTCTTTAATCTGATGCTGGCTCTGGACCTGTTGGGTTTTAGGTCACTTTCACTTTTTTTAACCCTTTGTTACAATTTTTTTTTTCAAGACAGAAACATAAAGCCCATTTTCTCCACAGTCTATTGGTCTCAGTTATGTTATTCAGCCAACAGAAGCACCGATCCACTCTGTGAGGGATTTCCCACTCATTCTGGTCACAGCCAGACGAGGTGGATGCTGATCCGCCTAGATCCTGTGACATAACAAAGCTGGCAGAGGTTAGGCGACGGCCCTCCCCCCCGGTTTATAAATAAACACTTTGTCAGGCGTGTTGTTTAGAACGTTTGCCTCTGCCTGGTGTAAAATGGCCTAAAGCACAGGGGGAATTTTTCACACCTCTGGAGTTCAATAGAAAACTAAGAGGTGGGTTTATCTTATACTGTGTCAATCTGTTGCCTTTTGGCTTCAATTTGATGCTCAGGCGCTCAGCTTTATTGTTGCTTCATTTAAAATCCTTAAATCATCAATAACTTCAAACATAATTCTTAAAATTTGAATTTAAAATTAGATTAATTAGAGTCAACCTCAGTGTGATTTAATCTTAGCATAAATACAGCAGTTCTGTGAAAGGTTTATTTGGAAATATGAATAAATTAATGGCACTGAGGTATAAAATGTAAGATTTAACTAATCAAATCTGATTCTCATGGAAAAGTGGAAACAAGGAGGCCACTCTATGAAATATGGCAGCATAATGCTTTACATAAGCAGGTGCAGGGAAGCTAGTTGTGGTTGTGGGGAACACAGATGGAGCTAAAAACTGTCAGAGGCTGAGATGAGGCAACATTCAGGCACTGAACAACCAAATCCTCACTATCAAGTAGTTAAAATCAAATCGTACTCATGTGTTAATGGCAGACCTAAAACCAATGCAATATTTAAAAATGTATGTTTAGAACCTTTCGGCCTTTGAACTATTTTGCAAAATGAAAGGACAAAAATGTTTACAAATATGGAAAGCCGGTGGAGAGATACCATAAAAATTTGCTGCAATGAAAGATGATTCTACAAACTATGGACTCAGGCTGACAACAAACAGACATTTATTTGTAACAGATATTGAAATATTTCCTTCCAATTCATTGTTATGCAACACTTTAAATTATCTTAAGACGTGAAATCCAATTAATTAAATGTAGCTTTGTGGACACAACATTAAAAAGAGGACATTTTTAAGAGGGGCAAATTTTTCTGCAATGCATTCCAAGTTGTCTAAAAATGGATAATTGTTTTTTTTTACATTGGTGTGCCTCTGCGACTGTGAATCTCATCTTTTTCTGGTTGTATTTGTAACATAAATAGCAACAAAACTTAAGAATGTATGCATAACATTACCTCAAAGTCTAGTATAACATATTTGTAAAGTTGTGATTGATGAAGATACACAATACAGTTGAATTTCTGCAGTTTATGAGCTTGTTTATGGCTGCATGATTTAAAGATTATATGTAGAAAGCCTTTTAGATAGCCTAAAATATCCTTGATAAGAACACTGTTAAAACTAGAGAGATAAATAAAGTGTTTTTAAAGATTACAAGAAGTTTAAATATTTAAAGACCCAACTTTTGTTCCACAATTGTATATCTGCAATAAAACTTACAGGAATATATATTTTTAAAGAAAGATCTACACATTTCAAACTTTGAAGCTATATTTTCAGTTAGTGAATAAAAAGACACTTAACTGACCAACAAACTTTTTAAATATACAAGTTAAAGTTTGAGACCAAAGTAAACTGCATCAAACCAGGATTCCCTACTATATGCATAAAATATTTGTGGTTTATTTGCTAGCATAAGAATAATGCTTATTTTTAGATTCCTTAGAAATAAAAAGAAAACTTCAGTGTTGATAAAGAATACCTCAAAATATAGGAGTGGTAAGTTCTTTAATGCACCACTAAAGTGCAGCATATTTATTACAGAAATGAATGTCAGTTGGTGTATAAGGTCTTTGGGGTCAGGACCCAGAGGCGACGATGGTATTGACTCTGAATGAGGACAACCAAATCAATGCGTTTCATTGTGCTGTTGAATAGAAAACATGTAGTCACATAGTCTGTGATCTATGCAAGCAGAAAACATAGGAGGGCATTTTCAATGTGGATTGGAAAACTTTGTTTCATTTTTTTGTTCACTTGTATCTATTTGCAAGCATTTTTTAAGGAGCCTGTCTCTTAGCTAGACATTCACTTGATCATAAGGTCTTATTCTACAGGGAAAGAGGAGAGTGAACTCTTGGTTTGCATCATGTCTGCTGTGCTTCACTTAGAGCCCCATTTGGCAGGACATAAATTGGGTCGAAGGGGAAAGATGTCTTAGGAAACTGTGGCTGAGTTCACAGTTGATTTGCACATAATAAACGTTTGAGAATCTACTGGTGAGGACAATTCAGGCTCATGAAACCTGAAAGCGCTCTACTATAGCTGGAGTTGGATATGAATTAAATAACAACATGTTCATAGATTTGTAGATAATCGATTTCTTACTTCAGTATTTTCACCAAAGCTTTTTCTCAGACAAAAGACTGTATACTGGTATTAATATTAGGTTATAACCAGGAACTTCAGTGGATTTGGGGTAAATTTGTGTAATAGGTCAATTAAAAGCAGTGTGTAGTATTGTGTATTTTTTTATATATATATACATATATAAATAATCCAGATAGTGTGGCAAGTAGCCATGTAAAGAACACAGTTAACAGGTAGAAAAAGGAACTCTGGTCAGATGGAATTTAAACTTTTTTTTAGATGCAAAACACTATTTTGGTAGAAAACTAACACAGCACCTCACCCTGAATACACCATACATTAGGTGAAACATGTTAGTGGGTTCATCATGCTGTGAAGATGTTTATTTTTCTTTAGCAGAGGCAGTAAGCTGCTCAGAGTTTTTGGGGAGATGGATAGAGCTTAATACAAGGCAGACCTTGAAAAACATCTGTTAGAGGATGTCATTTTATTGTCTGTAAATAATTTGATCACAGTACCCACCTGCTCATCCATTTTCGATGGTTCCCAGTTTTCCTCCATCCTCCCACAGACACAATGAAGGTTGCAGACAGAATTGCCAAATTACTTTGTGTTACTCACATTTGTACAACAAGGCCTCTTAGTGCACTTCTTTTTAATCAGTGATCACCACAAACTCCACAAAAATGGATGCATTTTAGTTAAAATGATTAAAATATGTTTTGCTTTCTACAGAGTGAATTTTATTGGTGCTAAAAGCCTCTTTATTCCCCTTGATTAAAAGCATTTATGGGTATTGATTAAATGCTCTGGTTCTCAGGGTAAATGGGGATTTGGCCCAAAGAGCCGATGCATTTACAAAATGAGTTTCCACTTCTAAAAATTAAGACATCTCTTAGTAGTTATGCAGCTGTTTCCTGAATTTCCAAAGAATGTTAACAGCTACTTTGACTCTAAGATTTTCAATACGAGAGTGAATTTGAGCTACAGTTGCGTGTTATGTAGTGTTTTATAGCAATATTAAGTCCCAAACAACTCCCAATTAGCTACATCACCACCAGGGGGAGCAAAGAGACAAGGATCTTAAATGCAAATCCAAGTTTATAGTCATTGTTTTCCTGTTAAATCAAATCAGCCTTTTATGATTCATTAAAATGTGAATAATGCTGCCCCTTATGTGTGCTCTATCAGAGAGGCCTGCAGAGGAGCCAGTCTGGAGCAGGCTGCAGCTCACTGTGGTCATCCTGGTGCCCTCCTGCTTGCTGTTTGTTGGGATCCTGCTGGGTGTGTGCGTCGTGCAGGGACACCGTTGTGCCTACAGCCGAGCCAACAGGCAAGACTCTGAGGAGCCTTTGGATGATCAGATGCTGATGTCTCCTGATAAATGTCTCCAAGATCTGATTTATGACATGAGCACCTCTGGTTCAGGGTCAGGTGAGAGGAATCCTACTTTTTTTCAAAAGATCACTAGCTTGACAATTGGAGTTTATTTTTAACTATTCATGTAAATAGTTTATAGTTACAATCAAAACACTTTATCTCTTTTTATAGTATTACATGTGATAGAAAAACACCAAATGATGCATATTTGTGAATTTGCTTGAAAGATTTAGTAAATAAATGCCAATAATATATAATCATGGAATTAAATCTGACACCACCATTGTTTTCTTTTATTGTATGTTCGAAACATTACAAATCACCTGAAGAATACAGAAAGCTAAAAAGGAAAACAAGGGTGGTCTAATGATTTTTTTCCCCCCATAACTGTACACATAATTGCAGCATATATTTTATCCCAATGCTCTAGAACCACATTTCACAGCTATTACAGCCCCAAGTCTCTGTCTACCAACTAGAGATTGAAACAATTTTCTTAAAAAGAAAATAAATCATTTTCATTCTGATTTTTCCAGTTTTGCTACAGATTTTTATTGGATTTAGTTCCGGACATTGACTGGGTTGTTTGAAGACATATATGCTTTGCTTTAAACCATTCAGTTTAGTGTCACAGTCCGACTGGAAGGTGAACTTCCACTTCAGTTTTAAATCCTACAGTTTCTAACAGTTATTCTTCTAGAATTTGGCTTTATTTCCCTTTATTAACTCTTCCTTTTTCTACTGGAAAAAATAATTTCCTTAGCAAGATGCTGCCACCACCATGCTTCACAGTTATGGTGTGTTCAGATCGACATGGCATGGTAGTTTTCCTACACACATAGAGCTTTGCAACTAGTGCTCCTTTCTTGTGTTCACTGCATCTCCGTTGAATTTGTTTCTGCCATACATCCATAAACACTGACTTTGGAAGTGGAGTGACTAAAAGATACACCCACCTAAGCTATGAACCTCTGCAGCTCCTCCAGGGTTATCGTGGTTTTCTGGCTGCTTCTGTAATGAAGACTCTTTTAATCCTTTCTGGCCTCTTGTGCCATGCTCTGAAAATTACTGTCAGTTTGGGATATTGTTACATAAAAGCGGGTTGTCATATTTATTTTATTGTGCAAATCCAGCATCATTGAGTCTTTAAAAGGGCCTGTAACAGCTGTCTAAATAAAATATTTGATTTCTTTATTTCATTTAGAAAGAGCCATGTTGTTATGATTTTAATAATATGTATTTAACAGTTTTAGCGACTTTGTACACTTAAAAAACATAATTATGCCTCTATTTTATTACATATTCCTTTCTTGGCTCTTGAGGGTTGGATAAATTGCCACGATGGCCCAGATTTGGGTTTATGATGCTATTTGTTTACTGACAATTCTGTAGCAAAACTCTGAAGCCTTTACACAACAGCTTAATTTGTTTTTGATAATAAATTACACACAGGCCGACTTTGTTGACTAATTAGGAGAATTTTAAAAGCCATTTCTTGCATCATGTTCTGTTATGGATAACAGGTCAAAGGATTAATAATTACTGTAAGCAAAACTTTTAAATAATATGAGATGTATCTTTTAGGGCTACCGCTGTTGGTGCAGAGGACCATTGCTCGGACCATAGTCCTGCAGGAGACCATCGGAAAAGGTCGCTTTGGCGAGGTCTGGCGTGGCAAATGGCGGGGAGAGGATGTAGCTGTGAAGATCTTCTCCTCCCGTGATGAGCGGTCCTGGTTCCGGGAAGCAGAGATTTATCAGACCATCATGCTCAGGCATGAAAATATACTGGGCTTCATTGCTGCTGATAACAAAGGTATCAGATTAACAAGTTTATAAGAAAAACAAATTACATCTGTAGCCTGAATATGTTGACATTTCACAGCATATCTTGCTGTTATCTGCAGATAATGGTTCATGGACCCAGCTCTGGTTGGTGTCAGAGTATCATGAGCATGGGTCCCTGTATGATTACCTGAACAGGTACACAGTCTCGGTGGAGGGCATGATCAGTCTGGCTCTGTCTGTAGCCAGCGGGCTAGCTCACCTTCACATGGAAATCATCGGCACACAAGGTAACATTTTTCTTTGCTATCCCTTTGTAAAACCTTGAGCTTGCATTTATCTCCTCAAAGAGAAATTCAGTAAAAACAATTTTAAAGAAACCATTAATGATTCACTTAGTTCCAATTTCATGTACTGCTTTGCTTGATCTGAGTGTTAAAAGATAATAAAAAAAAAAAAAAAACAGCATCTCTTTGTGCTCTAATGCTTCCTATATATTGTAGTTACTTAATTTCCTTTTTTTCTGAGTTTTTGAAGAGGCAGTGACTTACTCTGAGGATGCACCATCTAGTTTTTGTGAATATATAGCACCATTAAATTTTTTGAGGGGTTAAAAACAGGTGAAGCTTTTTAAAAGAAATGCTTCTTTTACTCTATAGAATAACGCTGCACTGCTTAACTGCTTAACATTTAAAATCTAGTTTGTGGGCATTTTATTAGCGGGGGGAAAGTCAGATATTGAGAAATGGGTTTTGTAATTGAATTCTATATAAACCAATGCAAGTCATAATTGCTTCCTCCCATACAAAGTACAACATAGTAAGCAACAAAAAGCAATTAGCTCACAGTGTGATAAAGGCAGTGAAACTGTAGCAGGATGCATCTGGCTGTATTAAGCTAGTTTTTATACCAAATAAAATGACCCTAAAGATACACCTCATGTTTTTGTCTTTGTTGCTTCTAGGAAAGCCTGCAATCGCTCACCGAGATCTGAAGTCTAAAAATGTCCTGGTTAAGAGGAATGGGACGGCAGTGATCGCAGATTTGGGTTTAGCTGTTAAACACGATTCCAGCACAAATACTATTGACATACCATCCAACCACAGGGTGGGAACAAAGAGGTTAGAACAATTCACTTAACAGCTTCAAAACAAACTGCAGTGACTGGGAAGTGTTTGCTTGGTTAACTAACATGGTATAAAAGAAGAGAAAAAGACAAAAGAAAAAGAAAAGAGTTTTTAGTTAGCACCAATAAAGCTTTATTGAATATGGATACAAACTAAAAAACCTGATAACTCAAAGCAATAATTACAAGAATGACTAAAACACATTTTTAAAAACCCAAAAGCATTTCTTAGAATGCAGCTTCTCAAACTCTGCTATTAGTTCTTTATCGCTCCCTAGAGGTATGCCTGAGTCATGACATTCACAGGACAACCAAGAATGACTGTGGGTTTTCTAAAAGTATTAACAACATCTGAGTTGTTTTACTCTCTGATTTTATATACTCAAGACAAAGTAATAAGCATCCACCAAGTGAGTCAACATATATCCTGTGCAGCAAAGCTAACAAGTAACTAGTTACATTTAACTGAGCCAATTTTAGAAGTTTTACTTTAATTTCTTCTTTTTACTTAGGTATTATTTTTTATGAAGTATCAGTGAATACAAGCTTGTTTTAAACAAAATGCCTCAGACAAATATAAAACATAATAGTTTTATCTTATAATGAGTGTTCTTGTCTCTGCACAAGCTGTAATATTGTTATTTCTATCTGCTGAGCCTCCTGCTGCTATCCAGTTATTAATCAAATAAATATCAACAGATTCGCAAATCATCAGTTGTAGCCCTACTTGCAATAATGTTATTTGTTTTATTTCTTTATTCTGGTCCATAAAATACCCGAAATAGTACTGAATTTTATATGTTTGTCTGCCATGTAACATGATCTTTAGATATTAGATAAAATACTTTGTAACCGTTTTAACAAATAATTTATACTTCTTACTTGATTTCTTGTCATGCTATTTTTATTTTAATACTATGTTAAAATCCATTTTACTCTTCTTGCGGTTACTGTAGCCAGGTCTGCTATTTGGTGGCAGTGTATTTTGTCTTTGTTTTTCCCCCCTATGTTAAAAGGATTTAATCACTTTGTTTTCTGCAGGTACATGGCTCCAGAGATCCTGGATGAGTCGATCAATATGAACAACTTTGAATCATTTAAGAGGGCAGATATCTACTCTCTTGGCTTAGTTTTCTGGGAATTAGCCAGAAGATGTTCTGTAAGAGGTATGTTAAACACAGCACTTCCATACCCTCTCCTCAGTCATTTGTGTATGAGTATCAGCAGAAATACGCTATAGCTAAATAATCAGAAAAACAGTAATCCAATTCCCTATAAAACACATGACGGTTGTATAATTTCCTCCTGTTTAAACTCCCTTAGGACTTCATGAAGACTTTCAGCTGCCTTATTATGACATGGTGCCTTCTGATCCGTCAATTGAGGACATGAAAAGGGTTGTTTGTGATCAGAAACTCAGACCAAACATTCCCAACCAGTGGCAGAGCTGTGAGGTGAGAGAACATTTATTGCAATGCTGACCCTCAGTTTTTATTTATTTATTTATTTTTTGTGTGTCTTGATTTGCAAATACAGTATAAATCTGGGAATAGTTGTCGAGGAGCTAGATGATAGCTTTTGCTTCTTCTTATCACTTATGGCAAAAGATAGACTTTTGCCATAAGGTTTCACTTGGAAATTTTATTGAAAATTATTTTGTATACAAAGGACATTGAGATGAGGTGAGAAAGAAAGAGGGGATAAGAACTAAGGGGAGAGAGAAAGAGAGACAAATGAACAAAAACAGCAACAACAAAAAAAAGAACACAGAAGATATACAGTAATCCTAGAAGTATACTTCCAGACCTGTATGGGACAAGGGGGACAAGAGAGACATAACAACATAGAAAAAACAATAAAACAGACAAGCAATTTAATTATCACAAAAAGCTTCAAGAGTAGCGGGTATCCCTTAGATATCCATTTGTGTTGAATGCAAAACCTACGGGGATTACACAATAAAATCAGCAGGAGGCAGAGTTGAAATTAAGGCTGAAATGGTTGGTACAAAGAGGTTAAAAAAAATGGTATGGCAAAGCAGCACAGCGTAGGGTGCAAGTAGATGAACCAACTAAGTATGACCATCAGGTACAAGTGGAAAGGCCAAGGTGTATTAGATGTCTTCTTCCGAATACCTCAGATTGTGCCTCCTACGTGTTTCTAGCTTCTATCTATCTCTGGGCTGCTATGCTGAATTGCTACGGCCTTACAGACATGATTACGTAAAATACAGATACATGAATGATGCTTGTCAAATTGCTCTGCCGATCTAAACTGTCATCTCCCATTTGTGTAATTTTTGATTCTGGATTATTTTTCCTGCTATAAATGATCAAAATTGTTGAATATTTTTTGAAAAAAGGCAACCATATAACATTCAATATATGGCTGAATCTCAATTAGGCTATGTCTAATGCATGAATATGCTTTGATCTCAGTTTCATCCTCTGCTTACCTGGCACTTGGTCTTGGGAGCTACATTTTCAGAAGTCTCAGCAGAGACTCCAAGATTTCCCTCCCACAGGTATCTCCTCAAGCTCTGCTTGTTAAGGCCTGAGGAGTTTCCTGGCCAGCTGAGAGACATACGGTAGTCGCTTCAGCGTGTCCTCAGTGCATCCCTGGGTCAACTCCCAGTGGGATGTACCTGGAACACCTCCAGAGAGGCGTCCATTGGGGGTTCCGAAACAAATGTCTGAGCCACCGCATGTGACAGAGAGGCTACTCCAAGCCTCTCTGACTAGCCACCCTGCATTTCAGCCAATTGTTTCCTGGATTGTGTTCTTTCATTCATGCTGACGACTGCCAGCTTTATTTGCCATTAAAGAAAATCAGCAGAACCCTACCTAAACCTCTACTGAACTGCTTAGGTGACATCAACATTTGTTTGGCTTCTTTTAAACCTAAGGGTGTTTTCAAACATCTTTACTGAGCAGTGTGGCTCAGAATGTTAAAATGATATAATATGTGTTTTTTCAGTTAGTATAGTTGCTTTCACACCAGCTTTTTGTCACTTTGAACCAAACTCCGCATTACTTGGAAAGCGTCATGTCACCATGACGAATGACAAGGTACTGATCCAATCTAAATTTAGATAGACCTTAAGGTGCATGTGTTAATATACCCTAAGTTGAGATCTTTGCCTCTTCTGGCTCAGCTCTCTCTTCATTACAACATACCAGTGCAGTGTCTTCATTATAGCAACACCAACACTAATTAATTTATCAGCTTTATTCTCCCCTCACTCATGAACAGTACCCCAAGATACTTGAACTCCTCCACTTAAAAGAGGAACTCTCCTCCTACCTAAAGAGGTAGGACGAGAGTTTACAGAGTTACATTTTTTTTGGATGAGAACCATGGCCTCAGACTTGGAGAATCCTATTCTTATCCTGGCTGCCTCACACTCAACTGTGTACCGCCTCATTGCATGATGTATGTAGACCTTGGCAGGAGGGAGCCAGTAGAACCACTTCATCAGCTAAAAGAAGGGAGGAAACTCACTGGTTCCCAAACCAGAACATCCTTCCGCCCTTGGCTGTGCCTTCAAATCCTGTCCATAAAGATTAAGAACAAGCCCAGTGACAGAGGGCAGCCCTGTCACAGTACAAAATGCACAAGGAACAGGTCTGACTTATTACCGTCAATGCAGACAAAACTCCTGCTCTGCTTGTACCGCAACTGGCCTACAGGGCACCACAAGGGACACAGAATTCCTTCTCCAGCACCCTCAAGCACATTATAGTGTTCCAAGGTCGGGACGAGAACCACACTGAAACCTCTTAAAGCCAAGGTGCGACAATCAGCCTGACTCTCCTCTCCAGCACCCTGGCAAAGGCCTTCTTGGGAGGCTGAGAAATGTGATCCCCCTACAGTTGGAACACAATGCCCCCCCCCCCCCTTATTATAGAGAACCACAACCCCAGTCTCCCAGTACAGAGTCAGAGTTCCAGACACATGATGTTGAAGAGGTGTGTTAACTATGGTTGCCCAACAACAGCCAAAGACCTAAGGTACTCAGGAGGGATCTCATCCACACCTTAGGTCAATGACTGGCAGTGACACACTTGCCCTCACATTAGCTGCTTGCTGCCTCAGGTGTGCCACTAGCCAATCAGACTAAGCAGGAAATCTTCTTCAATTTGACCAGACCCCCTACTGCCAGTCCACCCCCAGGTTCAGGGGTTGCCACCACGATAGGCACCACAGACCTTATAGCCACAGATACTGGTCGGCCACGTTGACATTAGAGGCAGAGAATGCAGTTAACTCAGACTCCATGCAACCAGAAACTGAAAGAAGCTCCCTGAAATTGTGAGTTGAATATATCCCTGACCCCAGACTCTATCAGACCTTCACTACTCTCTTTGCAGATGCAGTTTAGGTGTTGGTGGATCAGATCACTGAAGTTTTTACCTCTAACATGTCCCCAATCCTATTTGCAATGGCCCCTCATTGTTCTCCCGGAAGTGGTGGGCGCATTGGGGGATGGGCTTACGTTGTTCCTTCAGGCTTTGCCTGAACAGGCTGTGGCATCCACCAATTAACCCTGACCCCAGGCCTTGCTCTAGGGTAACGTTTCAGCTCCACCATACTGTACAATGTCATGTCCCTCTTGTTCTTGGTTATCATTAGGACATTTTTAACTGCTCTTTGTTTGACCCCAGAGCCAATTTGATTTGGGGCATTTAAGCTTCTGACCGCATAGCCTCTTGGATCATGTGATCACTGAAACCCCTCCACTACATTAGCATTTGAGGAGGGGTATGATTTGATCTAAAACAGGTAATAGCCCCCTTTGCTATTGAAAATTCACACAGTGCCAAAGCATGTTTCAATAGAATTTTTTTCAAGGTAATTTAATTTTCCCAATGCGTAACTTTCATGGGTATGTGGATCTAGTCTGGAGATAAATACTTTGAGAATACTTCTGGATTGTTGAAAGTACAGAGATGTGAGCAGCAAGATATACTGAAATGTATTGTACTACCATAGTGACAGTTATTTCTAAAAGTTTGTACTTTTATATTTTAAATTAGTTGCAAAAGTATCTTTATGAATTTTCATAATTGTTTTGTAGTGAGTGAAAGTAGACCTCAAAATTTCATCAGTTCAGTCAGTTTACCAAGAGAGAGTCTACTTTGAAATGTCCTGCCAGAGTTTTTGGAGCAGCAGAGCTGCATATTGTTGAAGCTTGTATGGTTATGCTGTATGGTTGGAATGGGTTTTCCTCTATAAGCTTTGCCTATTGTTGGCAACTCTAATCCCCAGATTCCGCCCAGCTCATGTACGCTGTGCAGAGTACTTGCCAGTCATATTAATCAATATGTGCTGTTCCACATCCAACTGTACTCCTCCGCACGTCAGCACTCATATATGTCTTCTTCTTCCTTCACCCTCAAAATACAGAGCCAAGCTTTTTTTTGCTCCGCTCCGGTCCGGCAAGGTCAAGATATGCAATTGCAATCGTACCAAATAGGAAAAAGAACATCAAGAAGGTTTGTTAAATTAAAATATAGTAACAACAGCTCAGTAACTCCCAATTAGAGCATAATTCTTATATATTCCCTAAAACTAAGACCGTACATAGAATAATGGATGCAAACTAGTGGTACTTCAACATACCAGGAAGCAGATTTCTCATCTCGATAAAAATCTTTATTTTAGGGGGCTTAAAAGTTTAATCAAATCCAGTCAAAACAACTTCCAACAGCGCATCTAAAACTTCAAGGGAAACTTCTTATCACAGGCATGGATGAACAGATGCTGAGTTTTGAAGTAAATAACAAACATAGTTCATACAAACAATGTTTGATCTTAGTTATCCCTGTTGCAAAAATCCACAGCAAAAAGAAAATAGCTGGGCAGAAATTGCACATATACTGAGTGCTGATGGGAACTTTTTTGATATGTCATATTAAATTAAGCGTTCATTTCCGCATGTTACATGTACATGTACATGCTCTCGTCGAACTCTGAGGAAATTGGAGCGGAGCAACACTGGAGGAACTGCAGAGGCTGTAGGCTTTGCTTTGTGCAGGCAGTCTGGAGCGGGGTGGTTGCAGAGGTTGTGGGATTTCGGTGTGATCGTCATTTCCCACTAACTGTTATCCATTTGTGGTGGCTCAACTAGAGATATAAAGGATTTAGTGTAAACAAATACCACCATTAATCTATTCTCAAAGTTGGTTTGGCAGCTGGGACTATATTAATGGTAACTTCCAGGCTTGAATTTGTAGTGTGTTTACAGCAGGTAAATATCTCTCATTGAAACCAAGGTCCAGTCATGATGCTCTTAATTTATACAATTCAAAAAACAGGGATATGCTTGTTCTGTCAGGGTTGTGTGAAGGTTTCTAGGACCCAAATGCAGAGAGGAGTTGGCACAGATGAGTTTGGATGATTTAATTAAAGTCCAAGAGGCAAATAATACAAAAATACTGAAAACCAAACAAAAACCAATAACATCAGGGAAAATACTTGAGAGAAGCTAGAGCCTAGAAGGCAACAAAACAAACTTCTACAACACGCAAGAAACCAGCACTGAATGAAGGCTCTGGTGCTCTTTTAAGCCCAGCACTATGATTAGAAAGATTATTTTCACCTGTGTAGGTTACACAAGTTCTCCACAAAGATCCTCTATAGTAGAGATTCACAACTCGCACTAAACCACACACAGGAACCCTGTGGTGCCAATGTTAACACTTACAACTGCAACCTCTAGATATTTTTATCTTAAACAACCCTCTTTAACAAAAAAACCCGGGTAAAATGGTGAAGTTTAACCCCATATTGACATTACCCAGCAGCCATTGCGGCTACTCCAGCCTCACAGGACATTACTTTTACTTATTATTTTGGTACCACGCACATATCATCCTTACCTTATTTTATTTTTACCCTCATCTTATTTTATTCTTATCTTATTTTATTCTTAGATCTCCTTTGTACTTGCAGTCTTAATTTTCTCTCTTCTGTAAAAAGTTGCACTGCAAAAAAATCCCCACAAAGGATTAATAAAGTAATTCTGATTCTGATTCACTGAAAAACTCACTTTCCTTAAAAACAATTTTATGTTAAGCTAAAATTGTAGATTATGAACTTATAAAATGGTTTTATCTAAATAGCTCAGTAGGAGAAGCCACAGTTCCAGGTTTGAATGCTTTCCAAAAGCTTCTCCTTTCCTTATAGCCTATTCATTTTTTTTTTACTTTACATGAACATTTACAGCTTTAAATCATAGCTTTAAATTGTATACTACAATTAATTTTCAGTTTCTTTGTTTTTGTTATTCTATAAATACAATTTCTACTAAGCACTCTGTACTATAGATATCTAAATTTGAAGTTTACTGCTAAGTGTGTTTATTAGTTGATGTTTCAAAGCAACAACTTTGGTTAAATTCAGGTTAGAAAACTATTTATATAAATTATTTATGACGCTTTAGTCAGTATTTCAACTTAAGAGACCTGTTGCTCCTACTAGGGGCTACAGTAGCCTTGGATGAAGGAGTTTCAAGCCTTCAAATTGGAGGGTTGTCGGCTCAAGCCCTGGCTTCGGCTCTCGGTGTCGTTGTGTCCTCGGGCAAGACGTTTCATTAGCATTGCCTACTGATTGTGGTGGAGGGATTGGTGGCTCCAGTGTTTGGCTCCTCGCTTCTGTCAGTGAGCCCCAGAGCAGCTGTGGCTAAAATGTAGCTTACCATTATGAGTGTGTGCATGAATGGGTGAATGACTGAGTGTAGTGTAAAGTGCTTTGGTCAGGTCCTCTGACTTGGAAAATCGCTATATAGGTACAGTCCATTTTCCATTTACTGGGTAAAAAAAACAACAAAAGATGAGCTTTTTAGTAAGACTTTCCTTGCTTTTTTTGCTGTTTCACATTAATTTGGGCATGTTTCATTAACACTAATTAAGGCCATGCTTATTTTCTCATACAAGATGTAATTTCAATAATGTTATCTTGTCATTTTACCAGGCTCTGCGTGTGTTGGGAAGATTGATGAGAGAGTGCTGGTATGCCAATCCTTCTGCGCGACTAACGGCACTTCGAGTCAAGAAAACTGTGGCTCAGCTGTCGGCTATCAAAGACATCAAAGACTAGTTTCGCTCGCTTGCAGGTCATCACTGGTGTTGACACTGGTGTCATGGAATAAACTTGGAGAAAATAGACTCTGCTTTTCAGCAGGAAACCACAACCTGTGTTTGTTGCCAAACGATAAAAAAAAAAATGGGGAGTCTGTCGAATCTTCGAACATAGACATCTAGCAGCTGACTTCTCATTCAGCTGTAGTTAGGTAGAGAGACCCATGTTATGTTAAATGTGATTATTTTGCTACCTCAGTATCTGAAGTGCCCAAAGCTTGAAGTTGCACAATTTTTTGTTTTTGTTTCATTGCTTATGGAAATATACACCCCATTCGACACGTGTTTTACCAACACACATACAGATTTTCCTGGAAAATATGAAATATTTTTGCACAATTATAATATCTCTTTTGTATACACTTTCCTGAAGGTTTGGTAAAGGGAACTGTCTTTTTACAAATGGAAGAGATAACCAGAGTATATATAAGCCTTTTAGAAAATGTAAACTTTGAAGTTAATCAGAATATTTATTGCAGAGCTCTCAGGAAGGAAATCTGAAAATGTTTTAACTTAAGGGAAAATTCTATTTTTTAGGGGGAGTGTTGCAGTCAAATGTAGCAGTAGAGTTCTTACCCAGCAAAGTGAAGTTTTTTACCACAAACAAAAATTTAAAATGAGCAAGGAAAAAAAACACACCAAAAATTAATGTTAAAAAATTACATTATAATTGAGGTTGGTGCTTGTAAAAGTACAAGATGCTTAAATGTTTCATGGTACTACAACCAATCGTTTACCACATGTGAGTAAATACGTTACTTTGAAGTAGGTAAATAGGTTGCATATGCATACTTTTACTAGTACACTTTATTTGATTGATTTATAATTTTTTGTCTTAATTTTATGAATATTATCATATAAAACAATACATATTTACTTTCATGTCAAATGAATAAAGTTGTTTAACAAGATTTTTTTTTTTATAAATTAAACCTTGAAAAAATGTCTCATTGATATTGACTTTATCAGACATTCTTTTGTCAAAATGTGAATGTTGACTGGCATGTTAAAGGATAATGAAGTGACCAAAGTGGCTCTATAGACTAAGCTACTTTCCTTATCACAACCCACTGACTTTCACCTTGATTTTACAGCATGATTGTAGCATCTAACTATTTCATTTTCAAACTGCGAAAGAAGTTTGAGTGAAGTCTGATCAGGAATCTTTAGCTTATAGCTTGTAATTGGGGTTCAGGAGGACTAACAAAACTTCTTTTCTTTCTAAAATGGCAACATTTTACTCATTCCAGGAGCAAACCATATAATATTTTTGGAGAAAAAGCAATTGGAACCATACAGTCACAAAACAATTAGGACATCCTAGTTGATAATCTTTAAAGTAACTGTTTGCATATCTTTTTTTTTATTTATGGTTAACAAACAGGTAAACACTAAATATCTATAGTGTTTTATGTATTCAACAAAGGATAACAAAAATGTGTACAGTAGTCTGAGGAAAATGCACCCTACCTCCAAATCATTAGTTTTAGTCTTTTTTGGTTAAAGTCCATTCAGTGAGAAGTTTCATCTACCAGCCTGTGAGTAAAGTTAGTCTCACTCTTCTCTATTAGCTGTGAGATACCTGTGGCGTTTCTATCATGTTCATCTCCTTTCAAGTCACCCCACCGTTTCTTAATAGTCTTAAGGTTGACCAAGGACTTTCCTGTTCTTTCTTCTGAGCCAGTCTTTGGGTTATTTACTGGTATTTTTTGGTTTATTGTTATGTTTCAGCTCCCAAATCTGCTTCAGCTTGTATTTGTTTCTAATTATTGGCTTTTATTTTCCTCAAGCACCCACTGATGCATGGTAAAACTTCTGGTGGACATCATGGTGAACTGGTCAGGGTCAGATACGACAGCTAATATGACGCGTCTTATCTTGTAAGGCTGGATTTAGTGTAAACCAAAATATATTTTTTATTATGGTGTTCAGATTATTCAGTTTTAGCCTCAGCTGTCAAAAGAAAGTTATCCAGATGTCTTGGTCTTTGTCTATGTATCCTCTAGCAACCTTAGTCTAGCCTTTATGCTTTTCTTAGAACGAATATTTTGTCATTTAAATTCTTCAATGAAAGGTAAACGTTTCTAATAAGAGTATACTGTAGGTTAGTTAAAGTTTTTTAGAGACCCATTTTGGCATCTCTCAGCCTGATGTCCAGGATAACCCGCATGGACAGCCAGATCTATTGTCCATAACTGATCTAGATTTGCTTTGAGACCCCTCTAAACTCTAATTTAACTCAAAATGTGCTACAAACTTTTTAACTGCCTCAGGCTGCTCTTTAGATCTTATGGTGGCGTAATATGGCATTGTTTTCTTTAACAGTCAGGCACAAACCAAACTAAATAGCTAGAGATGATGCAGGGTAAACTATCCTGACTAATTCATTGAAAGGCATTAATTGATCTATATGTCCCTATTTGTTGAAAAACACAAACTTAAATTTTTTGGGTTTAGCATCTCTTGCCACATAGCCTAAACATTTCATTGGGGTTTAAATTTTTTCTCTTTGTCTTGTTGGCTGAAATGCCCACAAAATCTCATGTAGTTTTTGAACATGAATGTTTTACAGATTCAGTTTTCTGGAAAGGGAGCATATTACATCAATTACATATTTTAATCCCAGGTCAGGCTAATTAAAATGGTTTATACTGATAGAGACATATTATAGCCTTAATAGACGGTACACTGTAGGATAATTAATTTTGCCTACAAAGCCTCACAAGCAAAATTACAAGGATCTGTTCGCCATTGTGCTTGCAGGAAACAGTGTATGTGCAAGAGTGCCTGTTTGAGCATCTGGTTGTAAATACTTTTATATTGTATCAAGAGATCTATTATTGAAATATTTGTGAACTTATAAAAATGTACCTTTGGAAAAAAAAAACTTTCTTTTTGTTTATTTATAATTGACCATATGTTCATATAGAACAGGGAAAGTAATTAACAATTTTATGTTTTTATTTAGGGAATGCATTTCATATGGGGCTGTTGACTTGAAATTTTCATCACATGTTAATATAATAAATGAAGTTATCAGCATATGCATAGACATCTAAACAACTAGGTCCACAAAATATGTGGAATAAAGTAGAATGACACAGGGAAGAGATACTGAGTAAACTTTAGTTTATTCAGTACATTTGAAGTCTTTTTCGGTAATGACAACTTCAAGACATGCTTTATATAAAGAAGCAGCTTTCAGTGCTCAGGTGTGAGTAATATTTTGGGGCCTTTGCCATGCATCCCGATCTTTGCATCTTTTCATAGATTTTCAGTTAGATGAAGTCTTGTAATTCTGTCTCTAAAGGTAACCGAGAGGGTTCCTGGCTGTGTGTTTGGAACCATTATCTTGCTGAAAATCTGCCCTCGTTTCATTACCAGATTCCTGTCAAATCTGTGTCAGTAAACTGTCTTGACTTGACTTGTATTGAGATGCATACAGTCTACCAGTGCTGTAAGCTCAAAATGAGCCCAACATCACGCTGCTCTCTCATCTAAACTCCACTGTTAGTATTGTATTTTTGGCTGATGCATTAATCCACCCAAAAATGTGTGAGCAATGATATCCAAACTGTTACATATATCTGATAGAGGGACACATTGCTTTCTAGATACTGATGATTATCAGCGACTTTTTCACTTTTTTATATTTATAATTTGTATTTGAAGATTTATTCCTCATGAATAATTTATGGACATATTTGTTTTGATTTATTGTATGAATGGGTTACTGGGTTTGTTTCTGACATGTGGTGTTAATTCCTGCTCAATAGTGCTATAAGAAATATATTTACTAACAGAAACATTCACATATTCAGCAACTGCTTTCCTGACTTTAACAGGTCAGTATTATTAGGAAACTTTTGTAGCATTATATATATATATATATATATATATCGAAAAAACAATTAATATCAATTTATCACTCTTAATTTTCGCAAACATAGTTTATTTCAGCTATATAATTATATTTACTTTCTTGATGATATCAAAAAGTCAACATACAATATTTGTTATCTTGGATGATTAGAAGTTCATTATCATATGCTTGGATTTTAGTTTTATTTCTCTCCAATTTGTACCAATGTTAGGCTGGTTTTACCTACATGGTTATATATCAGAAATTAAAAAGATGACAGAGAAGCACATGATGTTTTTATCACATCAAAAAGGGTTGATTAGGATGTGCAGTTGGTGTCTCTGCTGTATGTATACATACAGGTAGCTCCATTCATTTAAGGCTCCATTCAGGTGGATCCACTGTTTCTTAATTGTGAATTTTGTACTACTTTATTTTATAAGCCCCCATCACCATTTATTCTGTATAAAATGATATCAGGTCGAAATAAAAAGCTATTGTTAATATTCTAACTGAGATTGATGGATGTTACTCTCACTTTGCAAATGCTGTTTCTGAAAGTTCCGATTGTGCAGAGCTTTGCAAACTGCTGCAAAAATTTCCCGAAGCAACTTATCTCGAACAGGTCACTTTTATCTCCGGTATACCTCTTCTTACTTGAACTCATGTGACTCATCCCTGCTTTTGTCTCTGATGCTCTCCACGCGTAAGCTGTTAATGGCCGTTAGGCAGAGGAAACAAAACTGTAACCCTGAGGCTGTCAGCACTACACAGATGAGTCAACGCCTTTCAGAGTGTGCAGCGTTGCTTCAACAGATTTTTCTGTGATGGCTGCCACATCAAGAAAAGGTTACATGGTGTCGTTTGCCTGAGCTTGCGGGGACATGCTTATAAACTGCTCCCTAAAAATAGTTAAAATTATCTTAGTTTAGTGGCTTTTATTTAGCTTGTTAAGAGTGATGAACTAAAGTAACAGTTTGGTAAAGACAGCATATAAATATGGTTAGTTTTTTCAGACACTTTGAGGTTAAATTTATATTCTGAAAAGCCAAGAGTTGAAATGTAAGCATATTTGATTAAAAACAAGCAATAAATGAAATGAAATATTAATGAGTCTACAGGAAAATGTACACTGCTATGAAACAAAACTTTGTTCCAATTATTTTTTTTACATTTGGTGTTAAAGGAGACTCTCTTCATGGAGAGAGCCATTGGTGTACTTAACTTTTTTGGTAAAAAGTGTTCAGTCATGGATCACGTCCAAAAATCTTTTATGAAACGTAGTCAATAGGATCTGGTTCAGGGTTCATAATAGGATGAATGAAGATCCAGTATGTTTAGGAGGGCTGACCCTGAGAGAAGGAACTGGAGAATAGAGCTAGGAAGAGGGACATCTGAGCTCCCCCCTGAACCTGTTTACTACTGCGGCCTAATGTTGGAGTAGCAGAAAGGAAGAAGAATGGATGGAGGGATGTATTAATGTATGGATGAATAAATGAATGAATGAATGAATGGGTTGGTGGGTGGATGAATGGATTGATGGATGGGTGAATGGATGGGTTGGTGGGTGAATGGATTGATAGATGGGTGAATGGATGGGTTGGTGGGTGAATGGATTGATGGATGTGTGAATGGATGGGTTGGTGGGTGAATGGGTGAATGGACTGATGGATGTGTGAATGGATGGGTTGGTGGGTAAATGGATTGATTGGTTGGTGGGTGGGTGAATGGATGGATGGTGGGTGAATGGATTGATGGATGGGTGAATGGATGG